ACAGATTAGGGGTAGAAAACCCACTTGCTTGAGAATACACCAGAGTTACCTGGTACAACCCTGGCTGAAGTCCCCCCTCCATGGTAGTTCTCTTAGGTTGTGCCCTGTCTGTTTGCTGGGAAGCAGCTCTCATAGAAGATGAAATGGAAACCCTTTGATCCCAGGCCTCCAGGGACTGGGAGCCACCATTCACACCTACCCCAGATGTGCATTTGATTTGATGTTCCAGGCCAAATCCCATTGAGCAAATCCCATTATGGGAAAAGCTCCCTGGGCCGAGCTGTCTGGTAACCGGCAGGGCCCAAGGCCGTCAGAGCCACTGGGCACCCTTTCAACAAAGGCTGTGGGAGGCCTCTCAGGTCTCCTTCCTGTGCAGCCCCAGCTAGTCTGGAACTCAGGCTGTAGACCAGGCTGGCCTCGAACTCACGGAGCTCCACATACCTCTGCCACCCAAGTGCTGAGCATCCAGAATCATGCTCAGTTTAAAACGTGTTTTAAAACGGAGTTTGTTACTTTCCACTTTATGTGTGTATGTGTGCCTGCGTGAGACTATGTACAACATGTGTATGCAGGTGCCCAAGGAATCCAGAAGAGGGTGTCACACCCCCTGGAGCAGTTCCAGGGGACTGTGAGCTGCCTCATGTGGGATCTGGGAATCAAACTTGAGAGTCCTCTTCAAGAGTTGTCAGCCGTCTCCCCAACCTCCTCAATGTTGACCTTCTGGCTCTTTCTTACATCTGCTGGGTGTGCTCCCACCAAAGGGCCTTGGCGCTTTCCCCTGCCTGGAAAGCCCTCTGCCGAACACGTCTTGCCATGGCTTGTTTTTCTGGACTTGATGGACATGAACACTCTGGGCAGGCCTTCCCCTCCCCCACCCCCACTCCCACCTCCTTGCTCTGCCACCCAGTGCCCTTCAGTGTTTCATCCGCAGTGGTCTCCAGGAGTAGAAATCGCGCCTTTTATCTGCCCACTTGTTTTGTTGACTGCTTCCTTCATTAGGCTGATAGCTCCAAGAGGGAGTCAGGGTTATTCTTTGGTTTGTCCTAGTGACTGGCTGAGGGTCAGGTGCATAATAAATGCTCGATAAATCTTACGGGAGCCCCGTGCGTGGATTCAGCGAGCCCTCTGAGCTCATTGTGGGCACAGACACACAGCACACGCTGGAGCCGCAAGGCATTGGGAACACTTACTTGGTGCCCATAGCAGTGTTCCGTGATACCGAGTAATAAAGGAATGCATGGGCGCCGTCTGCTTCACGGAATGCAAAATGGCCCGGTCACAGAGGGGCCCGGGAAACTGGACTGGCAGGGAAAGGTGTGATCACAAGAAGCCCTTGCTGGAGCCCTTGATACATCTTGAGTCAGGTCTGGCCACCATGTGTGTGGGAATCTGTCATAGAGAATGTGCAGGAATGGGGTCTGCCGAGTACCAGCCCCTCCCGCTTCCCTTCCTACCTTCCCCATATCTTCTGAGCTGACCATCTCAGTAAAGGGCAGGACTAGACTCAATCTGGGTCTAAACCTCCTCTGGGATCCTCCCACCCTGATGTGTATTCTGAAGGAAGGGAATGGGCCGCTGAGTCTATTCCTGGGGCCCTGGCTTCCTATAAGGGAGAGTGAACTCTGTTTGTGGGAGACAGAATGACACAGGATGAGTGACAAGCTTCATCGCTTAGGTGGGAAAATTGAGTCTTGATTAGGAATCAAACACAGCTGGAAATAGAGTGGAGTCTCCCAGACCTTGGTCAGTTTTAAAGTCCTGAGTTCACCCTGGAGTACATCACCCCCACCCCCACCCCCGCCACTGCCAGCAGGTTTCCAGGCTTGGGGACACCCATATTGAAGGTCTGAATGCCACAGGCCCAGCTCAGGGTTTGGCTGTTGTCACATCCCCAAACCCCAGCACCCTGCTATTGATTCTGCCCTGACAGAGATGCCAGAGGCAGGGTGAGTCTGAGTTTTACAGACAACTCAAAAGTGGTCCAGATGCATTCCACACAGCCTCAAACCTCCCCTTCACCCCTCCCCAAAGACACATAACATCTCTGCCATCTTTAAGGGGTCCACAGGGTTCCATCCAGCCTAAAAACATCCCACCAGCAAAGCCTGCAGGCAATCTGCCATCCTCTGCCCTTGGCTCTGGTTAGAGTCAGGTACCTGGTTCACAAAATCCAGGCACTGAGGGAGGTGGTCCCTTCTTCTGCTGGCTCCCCAAGAAACAGATGACTACATAACCCTGGGGTGATACCCTCCAAAGGGCTTGGATGGGTCAACTTGGTCCTTGGGATTCCGTGCCAGGTGATCTGGGCCAGGAACCAGGCCCTAACCTGCTGACTCCCTGAGAAGTTTCAAGGTCTGGTGGAGGTATAGTTCTCAGTGACCCTCACTGTTTCTGCCTGAGAAATGGGTTCTTATCTCTGCCCCCACATGTCTCCATAGTAACAGGATTAGGGATGTCATATAGATGAATGGCTAAGAAGAGGTGTGCGAGGAGGGGCAGCTGAGGAGGCCTGTGAGAACAGGAACCTATTGCTCCGACTCAGCCAAGCTCAAGGGAGAGCATGTCCCAGGCAGAGAGAGCTCCCTTCATCCTCCCAGCCACCCTCTGACTCAGCCACCTTCACAATCCCTTTCTGTGGAACTTCAGGAGTCATGGAATTTCCGGGCTGTTGACGCCCCCTCAGTCACACAGCTGCTAAATATGCGAGCTCTGCCTCCATCCATGATTTGAGGAACCTGTGTGTCTGCCCTTGACCTGTTCTCCTGCCTCAGGTCCTATGCAGAACAAGTCATGGGGAGACAGATGTCCTCAGAGGGGTCTGGCTTCACCTTTTCTTGTGCTGGCAGCTAGTCTTATCCCTAGAGACAAGCAAAGAAGTCATGGTACAGTTACAGGGTCAGCAGGAGTTGCCCCATGTTCTGCCCAAAGCTAAGCAAACAGGGCCAGCTGTGTTCTCCTGGCCCAGGGCCTCTTTCCCATAGGGTGGCATCCCCGGAAGCTTGCCAGAGCCCTGGGCCCTGCTTGCAGATATGAGAGGCTTTGCTTATCTCCACATTTGGCCCCTTCGGACCACTGTGCCCACTGACTCTGTAGGGTTACCCACCTACACCGCCTATCCCTACTGCCCCTGGAGTGCTCCATGCTAGGTCCCACCTTCTCCAGAAGTTTCTGTGAACCTCTGAGAAGTTCGGGAGCCTCCATGTCTCTCATAGCCAAAGCTATCGCTTCCAAACCCCTCAATGCTCTATGCTATGAGGGTCTTTGCTCATTGCCCAGACCCTTTGCTTCTGTTCTCCTGCTGCAGTGGGCAGGGGCCAGGACTCTGAAGTTCCATGGTCTTCAGCCTGGGGCATGAGACTAGACTTGTTACCAATACCTATTGAATGCCCGAGTGAGCACCCCAGTACCCCATATCCATTCACCCTTGGTCTGAGTTCTTAGAGATCAGTCTGGGGGTCCTACTGCTGAATCAGGCCAAGCAGGTTCATGGTGAAGGAGAGAGAGCAGAGCTGCTGGTGAGATGGGTCGGTGGGTAAAAGGTGCTGGCTTCCAAGCCTGATGACCTGAGTTTGATCCCCAGGACCCATATAGTGAAGAGAGAGAACTGATTCCCTTGGGTTGCCTTCTGATCTCCACATGCATGCTAACACACACACACAACACACACGCATACACACACACACATGCACACACATACACCTGTAAATACATAAAATATCAAAAGTTCAGGCTTTATGCTTTGGTGCAGTAGAGGCAGGAGCTCAAAGTTCAGAGAGGCTGAGAATGATACAGTCTTAACCCAACAAAGGTGTGGGGGTCATGAAGCCAGGAAGGTCTGCTTCCCTTCAGTGTGTATGAAGACTGGCATCCCAGTCTGATGGGAGAGGCACAGCTAACTAACTAATGGGGGGAAGCTCCCTGAGTGGTCAGAGAGACAAGACACTGTCATCAAGTTAGGACACTTAGGAATGCACGCATTAATACATACACAATTCATCCATTCAGTCATCCCTTCAGCTGATAGGCCTAGGGTGTCCATTATCTAGTGAGTGCATTTGTTTATTCATTCATTCATTCATTCATTCATTCATCCCTTCAGCTGATAGCCCCATGATGCCCTTCATCTAGCTGGTAAATTTATCTCTCATGCATGTGTGCATTCATTCATTCATCCAGTCAGTACGTCAAACATCTAGCTGATAGACCCAGAGTGTCCTTCATCTACTTAGTGCCCATTCACTCACCCACTCATTCATGCATTCGACTGATAGACAGACTTTGTGTAGTTAGAGCATTTGTTAGTTCATGTGTATATACACCCATTCATTTATGCATCCATTCATTTTTTCCCCTACGCAGTTGATAGGTTCAGGGTGCCCTTTGTGAATTAGTTCATTTACTCATGCATGCATCTATTGGTTCATTCATCCATTCAGTGATAAGCTGGTAAGTTCATTGTGCCTAACTAATGTACTATCTAGTTAATGTACTCATTTATTCAGTCATTCAGCTGATAGGTCCAGGGCACCCTTTATCTAGTTATTAAATCATTCATGCGTGTGTACATTCATTCAGTCATTCATCCATCCGGCTGATAGGTTCAGGATCTCCCTTCATGGCATTAGTTCACATTTATTTATGCACTCACCTAACCATCATTCATTCACCCATTCAGCCAATAGACCCAGGATACCCCACATCCAGTTAGTGAATTTACTCATGCATGCAATCATTCATTCATTCAGCAGAACGCAGAGGGTAACCCCTCAAACTATGCCATAGGGGACAAAGAAGTGACAAAGGGCCTGCCTTGCTCCTGGAGCTCTTGATGGGGGACAGCCCTTTGGGCCCACATTTGGGCAGGGAAGACTCTGGAGACCAGCGCCTGTTTCTTGCGCAAGGCTGTGACACTGCTGAGGTCTGCCCTGGGCCTCCAGGCGCAGGCCCTTTGTGATGGCGCCATGGGGTCCAGCCTCTGGCACTGCCCGTCTCTTCTGCAGGTGATGAGCATTCTCAGCAACCCGAGCGCGGTGCCTCCGCAGCCCCAGGCCGACTTCTCCATCTCCCCGCTGCATGGAGGCCTGGACTCTGCTTCCTCAATCTCAGCCAGCTGCAGCCAGCGGGCCGACTCCATCAAGCCAGGAGACAGCTTGCCCACATCCCAGTCCTACTGCCCACCCACCTACAGCACCACCGGCTACAGCGTGGACCCCGTGGCTGGCTACCAGTATGGCCAGTACGGCCAAAGTGAGTGTCCCCTCATTGCCCATCTCCAGTGGGCTGGCTTATTCCTGGACAAGGTGGTGGCTAGGGTGGAGGGTGTCTCTTTAACTATCTTACTGTTTTATATGTGTGAGGGTTTCATCTGTGTGTGTGTGTGTGTGTGTGTGTGTGTGTGTATCATGTGCATGCAGTTACCCATGGAGGCCATAAGAGGGCATCAATCCCCTGGAACTGGAGTTATAGATATTTGTAAGCCATTTATGGGTGCTGGGAGCTGAGCCCAGGACCTTGGCAAGAGCAGCTAGTGCTCTTAACCACTGAGCCATCTCTCCAACACTCTTTTAAAATTTAAAATAAGCCAGGAAGTGGTGGCGCACTCCTTTAATCCCAGCACTTGGTGGGCAGAGGCAGGTGGCTCTCTCTAAGCTTAAGACCAATCTGGTCTACAAAGTGAGTTTCAGGACAGCCAGGGCTGTTACACAAAGAAACCCTGTCTTAAAAAACAAACAACAACAACAAAACAATTTTTTAAATAGTGTGTGTGTGTGTGTGTGTGTGTGTGTGTGTGTGTGTGTGTGTGTGTGCATGATGTATTTAGTGGAGGCATGGAATTGCCCAGAGTACAAATTTGGGGGATTGTTTCTCTCTTTCTGCCTTTACATGGGCTCTGGGAATCAAACTCAAGGTTGTGTTTCTACCCTTTGAGTCATTGCACAGGCAGCCCAGATGCCCCTCTCACAGGTGGGAAAGCAGATCCTTAAAGGAAACAGAGGTGGCCTAAGATGTTCTAAGCTGCCAGTCCAGCCCAGCTCCCCTCTTAGTGAGATCCCCCTTCCATTCTAGGAGCCACAAATGCTCCTGAATTTTTTTAAAACTTTTTTTGAGAAAAAAATTTAAAGATTTATTTATTTATTACATATACAGTGTTCTGCCTGTATGCCAGAAGAGGACACCAGATTGAATTGTAGATGGTTGTGAGCCACCTTGTGGTTGCTGGGAATTGAACTTAGGACCTCTGGAAGAACAGTCAGTGCTCTTAACCTCTGAGCCATCTCTCCAGCCCACAAACACTCCTGAATCTTTTAAAGGCCAAACTTGAAAATGTAAGAACGGGACAGGGTCATTTTAGTAACATATTTTATTTAACCCGATATGCTCAGAGCGGCCACTGCTTCACACAGTCCACACGTGATTACCTAGGAAACGTTTACATTCTTTGGTTCAGACTCTGTCTTTGAACCCAGTGCTTTTGTTGCTATCCTTTGGTGATAGTGGGGATCGAGCCTAGCACCTTGCCCAAGCTAGAGAAGAAGGCTCCCACTGAGCTACACCCCAAGTCCTCTGTTTTACTTCTCACTTTGAGACAAGTTCCCACTGAGATGTCCACACTGACCTGAACTCACTCTGTAGCCCAGATGGGACTTGAATTTGTTGTCCTTCATCAGCACTTAAAGCTCATGAAGGTGCTGTTGGGGACACAGCGCTGCATACCCAAGTCCTTCTGAAGAGACTTGTAAGTTTTTCAACCGTGAAACAATGAAATTAAAGGTCATCTTTTAAATTCAACATAAAGCTAACATCTGAGAGCCTGCTCCCATTGCACTCGGTACTGGTCAAGTGCAGAACAGCTAACTGCATGTGGCCAGTAGCGGGAAGTGGGAACAGCACAATGGGGATCTGCGCCCCTCTTCCCTCTCCGCGTGGGGCATGGCTGTGTGCGGAGCTCTGCTTTCTGCATGACTTTCCCTCCGCAGCCTCTAGGGTTTCACTTACCCACTCGAGCCATTGTCTCCTTGGCATCTTGCCTTGATGCAGGGACAGCAGACCCTCAGGCCAACAGCTGGGCAAGATGGGCTTGGCCACAACCTCTGGTCACCACCTGATGGGGCCAGCAGCAGGGCAGGCCCAGACAGGCTAGGGGAGCCAAAGGTCACAAGGCTGCCCTCCTGCCACCTCCCAGCAAAAGCCTCACCTGCTGGTGTCAAACTAATCAGGAGGGCGTGTGGAGAGAGTGAGGCCTCCAGCCCGGGGGCATCCTCTCTTCCAGCTGCCGCCTGGCCTTGCCACACTGACCTCTGCTTCCTGAGGCCCCCAGCCCACTCCAACCGTATGGCCTTGGCCTCCACGGTTAAATGAGGGCCAGCTGTGTGAGCCTCTACCTCCCATGTGCATACGTGCATGCTTGCATGTGTGTACGCATCACAGGTAGGCTGCAGTCCAAGTGTCTGTGCACATAGTATGTACAAGTGATGTGGCTTGAATGATTCCGCAGCCGCGGCATGGCCACAGATTTCGCAGATAAATAGATTGCCTGCATGTGTATAAATATGCGATGAACATTTGTGCGTACGTTTACCTGTTTACCTATAACTATATGCAAGTACACACAAGTGACCATTCTGTGTACACACTGGTACGTGTATATGGCTTTGCATGTTTGAGCACACACAGGCACACATAATATGACAGTTTGCGGTGGCAATATGCATACATTTAAATTTTCATAGGTAGGTTCTCATGGTCTGGCGGGCCTATCTATATGTGTGCGTGTGCATTGACATGCATGTGTGTCCTTCGTGCACAGTGAGTATGCAGATAAGTGTGGTTGTGTCCACATGTGTACTTTGGTGTGTGCATGTGCTTAAAGGCATCTGCGATTAGGCACGCTTCGGTGCTCTGCATGCTTATGATGTGTGTGCCTGGGTGTGTTCATATGCTGTGTCTGGGCATGATTGTGTATGCAATTACGTGTGTGACTATGAGTATGAGTGTGAGCCCGGGAAACAGCTCTACATGACCGTCTGCGATCCGGGGCACCCATGTGTACAAAGCTTTCCCAGTAGGTCCCTGGTTGACCTCCTGACCTAGCGCATGTTCCCAGCCCAACACACGACACACATGCTCTTGATAAAACATTTGAGAGCGGCAGCGGCAGCGTGGCCAGCCCCGGGCAGGCGTTAGTCACACCCGGAGCCTGGAGCCCCTGCCCTGCTCCAGGGCGCCTGCCCAATTCGGAAATAAAATTAACCCCAAAGTCAGCATGGGGGTGGTGGTGGGGGATCAAAAGAGAAGGGGCCCGGGAGAGCAGAAAGGAGAACACTTGGCCTCCCTCTCCTCCCTTGCCCCTCCCCTCCTTTCCCTGACCCTCTGTTGCTGCAGGGAGAACTCAGGGCTCCTCTTGGACCATCTTCTCCAGCCCCACGTAGTCCTAACTCACTGAGGCACCTCTGCCACCATGTGCCCCAGGACAAGACACACACCCAGCCTCAACTTTCCCACCTGCGGGATGGGGCCAGGGATCTCGACACATCATCTCGAGAGGTTTCCTGTCATGCTACAGACTTTTCTGTTGACATTCTGGAGAAGCCCAAGGGCATGTCACATTCCCATTAACTACCTGCCAATATTCCTGAGCACACAGGCCAAGTTCCCTGATATTCTTGGGAAGTCACACACATCTCACACACACTTCCCTATTTTGGTCCTGACCCACCTGTCACCTGCTGCCTCTTGTGTCACACTTGAGTTTAGCCCCTGCAGCACTGTGTGAATGTGTGCTTATTCACATAGCTTTCACAGTTCCTGGTCCTCCACTTGGCAGGCTCAGAGAGGGAGAGTAGTGTTCCCAAGGTCCCACAGCAGGGGCATTGTGTCTCAGCTTTCTAACCCCATACCACAGGTGAACCAATCTTGTGCAGGACACTTGGTATTGATTGGTGCACACTCTCACATGTGCAGACTCATGTATGTGACATGCTCTCCCATGTGCAGACTCATGTGTGTGATGCTCTCCATGTGCAGACTCATGTGTGTGATGCTCTCCATGTGCAGACTCGTGTGTGACACTCTCTCATGTGCAGACTCATGTGTGTGACATGCTCTCCCATGGGCAGACTCATGTGTGTGATGCTCTCCATGTGCAGACTCATGTGTGTGATGCTCTCCATGTGCAGACTCGTGTGTGACACTCTCTCATGTGCAGACTCATGTGTGTGACATTCTCTCCCATGGGCAGACTCATGTGTGTGATGCTCTCCATGTGCAGACTCATGTATGTGACATTCTCTCATGTGCAGACTCATGTGTGTGATGCTCTCCATGTGCAGACTCATGTGTGTGACACTCTCTCATGTGCAGACTCATGTATGTGACATTCTCTCCCATGGGCAGACTCATGTATGTGATGCTCTCCATGTGCAGACTCATGTGTGTGACATTCTCTCTCATGTGCAGACTCATGTGTGTGATGCTCTCCATGTGCAGACTCATGTATGTGACATTCTCTCATGTGCAGACTCATGTGTGTGATGCTCTCCATGTGCAGACTCATGTGTGTGATGCTCTCCATGTGCAGACTCATGTATGTGACATTCTCTCCCATGGGCAGACTCATGTATGTGAGTGCCACTGAGCATATGTAGAGCCAAGGCACAGCTATGCTAAGTGCGTGTGCATGAAGGGAGGAGAAATGATGGTTAGTTGAGAATCTACTATGGAATTGACATGTTATCGACACTGCTACACAGAGCTGTAGGCATGATTATTTGCACTGCATGCTACAGTATTGACATCTAGAGAAGTTACTTGCCTGAAGTATTGATGGGCAAGGCAGCCAGGCCTGCATCCTGGCCCTCAAACACCACTTTCAGGTGTCTTTGGAACATGTACGTGACCCAACTCCTATGCAGCAGAGTCCTTCCCCATCTCCTAGGGCCTCCTGCCTTCCCAGGGACACCTTCACACCTTCTTTTCCAGCTCTGGCCATGTCCATCCATCTGCCCATCTCTCACTGTCTCTGGAGTGGGGGGGGGCAGGAGGCCAGGGACAGGGCACATGGTAGATTAATATGGCCCCAGTGTTCCCAGAGGCCAGGGCCATACTAATGATGGGGCTGATAGAACGCAGGAGTGTGAAAAGAATTTTAATAGATCTGACAACTCTAATAAGAATTTGTGTCTAGAAGGGTCCTCCTCTGGGGCCTCTAGCTGACGAGGCATTGATGGCTGAGATTTGTTTACGGGTTGGCATTGCTGGCCCATCTCCTGCCAACTCCTGATTAATGTAATTGGAGATGTTCAGAGCCCAGGCGGGGTGTGAGGCAGGAGAAGGGAAGCACGGAGGGACAGAGGGACAGTGAGGGCTGTTGACAGAGTCCCTAATGAGGAATGTTACCTCCCTGTCTTCTCGCCAGCCCCTTGGCTCTACCCTAGGAAGAGGCAAACAGGCCCTACAGTTGGCCCTTTGGGTGCTCTGGAAGTTGCCAAGGTCAGCAGGAAAGTTTGGCTTCTGGGTGCTTCCTTGCCTACCTCAAGGAAGGACTGAGAAAGCTCCTACTGTGTGCTGGGGGAGGCTAACCAAGGAAGAGGCACAGAGTAGGTAGAGGTGCCAGAGAAACAATCCTTTATTTACCCTTTATTTGTGTGTGCATGTGTCCATGTGTGTGCATGTGTTCATATGTGTGCATGTATTAGTGTGTGAATGTATTCATGTGCATGTGTGCATGTGGAGGTCAGAGGTCAGGCTCGAGTATCATCCTTAAATTGGAGACAGCATCCCTCACTGGCCTGGAACTTACCAAGCAGGCCACCAGGCAGGCTGTCCATCAAGCCCCAGGGATCCAGCTGCCTGTCTCCCCAGCGCAAATCCCAGCGTGTCCGGCTTTTCTGCACAGGCTCTCAGGATCCAGTTTTCATGTTTGCACAGTTTTGTCCATTGAGCCGTCTCCTCAGCTCCATGGGTGTCAATTTAAGCTCCTCCAGGCCACATGTGAAATGTAACTACAGCAGGCAACTGTGCTGTGCCTCAGTTTCCACATTATGAAGTGGGAACCATCCTGAAATCAAGGCGCAGAACTTATGTTCCCCTAGAACACAGTCTAAGTGTGGACCCCGCCTTTGCTGTTGTCATTGCTCCATGACAGACCCCATAGCCCACTGCAGGAATAACTAATGAGGTAGTGTCAGAGCCCAGCCTGGCATAGACTAAGGCAAAGGTAGGCCACCACCTTCAGTGATAAAAGAAAGGTCACCTGAGGTGACGTGTGCCTTTGGTAAGTCCATGACATCGCCTGAAGGGGAAATGAGACAATGTGAGCCTGAGGGGCAAACTGCCTCAGTCTTGAGAGCCGTGTGCACACCGGGGGCATTGCCAGGGATGCTCATACTCCAGGATCATTTCTAGGGGCTGCTGATGAGCCCCAAGGCTAAGGAGCTGTCACCAGGCTGCTGGGGTTTGAAAGCATAGGAGGAAGCAGCTGATTTTAATTACAGTCCCCAAGGACCTTGGTTCTACCTTCTTTCAAACAGGGAAAAGGGACAGTCACACTACCTGGCTTGTAGAGCTGGGATGAGACCAAAACACATCCCAAGTACAGGAACGGGAGCAGAACAGCATAGGGCTACTTCTCTGCAGCTTCTGCTCCTGTCCCTTCTGTGCCTGTCACCCCTCCAAGAGGGTGACTCACTGGTCCACGCACCCTGGAACCCAAGGAGAAAGGACAGTGTGATCAGAGCTGCGGGGTCTTTCCAAAGCTAGAGCTGGGAACCCCACACTCCCCACAGCTGTCTCTGCTCTACCAGCTGGGAGCCTGGGATAGAGTGAGTGACATCACAGACCCTCAAGCCTAGGAGTTCATCACAGGACTTTCCTCCATTCACCCACCTTGAGCCTGGCTAGCTAGGCACAGATGAGACCCAAAGAGATCCCAGGGCTTTTGCACATCTTTTAAGAGTCTGGGGGGCCTTGTCCTGAGCCCTCTGTGACAATGCGTCTGATTACATTGTCACCACCCCATTTTTGCAGATGGACAAGTAGACCTAAAAGGAAAGCTAATTTGCTCAAAATCACATGACCAGGAATGTGACCTCTTCCTTGGCCACCCCTTCCTCCATACCACTGCTGAAGGTCACATTTATTCTGGGGCTGAGTTCACAAGTGCTACGCTCTAGCCTCAGAGACCACGTGTGTGGAGTCTGTTAACTTTCCCTGCAGTTCTTGCGTCCAGATGCCATATCCCATGATACAAACAAGGAAATTGAGGCTGAGGCGGTGTGCCCCAGATCACACTCAAGGCTGGCAGTCATGGAATTTAAATCCCGGTCATTTGAGCCCCCATGTGACATAGCTCATCTATTGAGATTGTCCCGGTGGCCTCCCTGGCCTAAGCATCAGGCTGTGTCCATCACCTCCTTGCTCTACCTCCCCCCACCCTGCTTTATGCAGAAGGCTCTGAGCTTGGGGAAGCACAGAGACTGTCTATGGGGAGCCCTGAAAGGCAGGTGACAGAGGGAGCCTCCTCGTGACTCTTCGTGCACAGCTTCCTATCTTCCCCTGAGCCCTCTGTGTCATGGGGGTCCTACAGGGGTGCACTGGCTACAGTCACAAGGCCCCGCCTAGAAGGGCAGCATCCTGCACCCTGGGAGGCTTGGTCACATGCCCGTTGAGTGCCTTGGTCAGGACAGGTTTCTTCTAGAGCTTCAGTCAGGACAGATTCACATGCAGGCAGGCCAGCAGTTGTAGCTGCATAGGACGGACGGACACCTGTGTCTCCCTCAGGTACACTCTTATGATCACGGGACCTGTGTGTGCATAGGTATTCCCATTTGTGCATTCGCTCACAAGAGGCTCACAGGTGTGTGTGTGTGTGTGTGTCCCAAGTGGGCATTGTTCTGTATGAGCATTCATACTATGCTCAGCATTGTCTTGTGAAGATGCTCTGGTTTCCGCTGGTCTCAGAGCACCCCCCCATCACCACTCATGCTCACACCTCATACCCACCAGTGCCAGCCTGTTTTCATTGGAGCTGATAGTCTGTGGATCTCAGCCTCCACTCGTCCTCCTGATGGCCCCCTTGGCTCACTTGCAAAGCCACTTTGGCTCACAAGGGCCCTGTTGAGTCTTGTGCGTGAGCTGCACTCAGGGTCCAGCACAGGTTGAGAACCTTCATCCTCAGTGCCATGTGGACTCACTCAGCATGGCTCACTAGCCTCCCTGTGGCCTGAATAGCCAGAGGTCTTGTGGGAAGGGAGCTTAATTCTCCACTGAACACTGGGATGTGTGTCTGTACTTGCTCGCAGAGCCAGCAAGAGAGCTGGGAAAAGCAAACATTGAGTAAATGTCTGCAGAGTTAGCTTTCTTCATTCATACACAGCTTAAGGCCCCCTGCCCAGGGAATGGTGTCACCCACAATGGACTGGGTTGATGAATAATCAGTTAGCAATCCAAGACAGTTCCCCACAGACATGCCCATAAGCCAACCTAATCTAGACAATCCTTCAGCTGATGTTCACCTCACAGGTAATTCTAGGCTGTGTCAAGTTGACAATAAAAACTGGCCAGCAGAGGATAAGCAAAAGATGGACAGATGGACAAGAGGATTAATGAATAGAAGAATGGATAGATGAATAGTGTGGACGGAAGAAAAGAAGGATAGATTGGCAGATGGGCAGATGGAAGGATGTGTGTATGGATGAGTTGGCAGAATAATGGATGGATGGAAAATGGGTGGATATTAAAATTGATGGGTAACCTCACAGGCAGAAAATAGATGGATGGACGTGAGGACAGAAGGATAGATGGTTGGAAGGAGGGATGGAATGGTGGATGGATAATAGATACATAGATGGGTAGATTGGTAAGATGGATGGGTAAATAGATGAATGGGTGGACAGAAGATGGGTAGGAGGACAGAAGGATAGATGGTTGGGAGAACGGATGGAATGGTGAATGGATGTACAGATGGACAGAAGATGAAGGTTAAATGGAAGAATACATGAAAAGAACCTCAGTTTCTAGAAGCTCCTCTCTCTTTCCAGCTGCTGTTGATTACCTGGCCAAAAACGTGAGCCTGTCCACACAGCGCCGCATGAAGCTTGGAGAACACTCTGCTGTGCTGGGACTTCTTCCTGTGGAAACAGGCCAGGCCTACTAGGGCCCCTGGGGCGACTTGCCCCAGCCAATGGCCCAGCCTAGCCCTTCCCAACCCCTGAGCCTTCCCCCCTCAGTCCCCTTATCCCCCTGGGGTCTAAGGAGGCCAGGGAAGGAACTCCTTCCCTTCCCACAGGCGGCCCTCTGGAGACAACCAGTGTCATTTACCCATGGTTAGTGACACAGAGTGGCCCTTTGGGTCTGTGCCCCCCTGCCCCATCTCCAGAGGGGTTCCTAGCCATCTTACAATGATTTCCAGCTCACGTCCATTTTACAGTGTCATGGCCTTGGTCCTGTCTGGGCACAGAGACCGAGGGTCAGCCTGAACCAAGCACCTGGTCATCAGAGGGAAAAGGTGCCAAAGACAAGGCACTGGAGTCCTTGGCCCCTGAGTCCCAGGTGCCCTGGCCACAGGTACAGGTGGGGCTCACAGGGGTGGGCCTCTGGCTTGGCACCAGAACCGCAGCCTCTTTCACTGAACACTGAGATGAGCCCCTGGGGGTTCCCAGGGGAGAAAGCAGGCAACATCTCAGTTTTATCCAGGAATCCAGAGGTCTTTGTGACCATCCCCACACACCCCTGCTGGATATCAGGAGACCAGTAAGATGTTCTACCAGGGGGCAGGGGGCGTGGAAGCAGAGAACGTTGGCCATGGGCTATCCCAGAATGCCAGGCCCCAGGCCCAGCGTCAGGAGGTGCAGGGCTCCTCGGCTGAAGTCTGATTGAGGCTTGCCCACTGCATCAGGGCCTGGGAAGCCCGCAGAACCTGTCAGTCTCCTCAACTGGTAGGAGAGGGGAAGATCTCGAGGCAACAGGAGGCACAATGCAGGCTCAGAAGGTCTGAGGACATTCAACTTTCAAGTCCACGCCACTGGAGTTCTGCGCACCATCTCGCTGGCAGCTGGCAACCTGCCTCATGCATGCTGGTCCTCTGAAAAGGGGCCTCCTTCTCCCAGCATGAAAAGCTTTTGATGTCACCGGATGCAGAGAGTCTTCTTGGACCAGGCAAAACTACTGGTCCTGCCCCACCCCTCAGAAGATGCTTCAGTCTCCTTGGCATCTCAGTGGAAGGCCATGTCCCTGTCCTTTTCAGAGTGGCATTTTCCAGTGTTGCCTGCTCTCAGTCAGGAGACTTCTGTCTCCTCACCAAGCACAGTGTCTCTGGAGCACTGTTTTTAAGCCACCACCCCTGGGCAGAGGAAGATGCCCAGAGTCCCAGCAAAGAGGACAAGGCACCTTCCTTAAGCACCCAGGGGCTTCCTTGCACTCCACCCTCTTTTAGAGTTGGGTCTTTGGGGGAATGGACTGCTCAAGTCCCCCAGTTCTCCTCCCTGGAGCTCTTCATCACCCTCTATTTATCAAAACTGTACCTGTCTTTACCCCCTCCCTCGCTATAACCTACACTGCATCCGGTGCTAGTGTGTCACAGCACCAAACCCACGAACACTGGACCTGATTCCGTGTTCCCACCTGGACATGAGGCCACCTGCTGGCCCAATCCATGCCTCCTGCCCTCAGTCAGCAGGACATTCCTAGAAAGAGGGGCTGCTACTCAGTAGCCCCAACTGATTTCCTTCTGCCTGGGGAGCTGGACTGGCAAGACTCCGAGACCCTTGTCTATATGAACATGTGCCCGATGCACATGCGTTTCTCATCTTTAGACCCAGCACCCGAAGCCTGCCCTGGGCCATGACTAGGGTGCCTTGTATCTGTGGTTTAGAGATGTCTATTAATAACTGGGACAAATGGACTCTTCAGTAGCATCGAACACCAGAAAAGTGGGCTCATCAGCTCAGTCCAGGTTTCAAGAGGGGAGACTTCTGAGGTCTTCAAGGTCTGGACAAGAGGAAAGCCACATTGCCCCTTGGAAACCCAGTTTCTCCTTTTGTAGGCCTCACAGCAGCAAGCGCCCCGCCCTGTCAGAAGACCAAAGTCTTCCTCCACATTCCTTGCTCCCTGGAGGCCTGGCTCTGGATGCCTCTGAATCTCCTTCCACCAAGTATGATTCAGAATCAGGGACCTCAAGCAGGTGACATCCACAGGGCCCAGCCCCAGCCCAGGGAACAACATTCCAATGCTTGGACCAATCACAATGATCTACCCACTAGGGTAAATGCAACCAAGACTTGCTGGGTAGAAAACAAAATGACTTCTCATTCCATTCAATGTCTCTGAATGTTCCCCAAGATGCCATCTTGGTATAAAACTGGTCTTGCGTTCCAAGGGGCCTTTGATCCCCAACAGATTTCCCTAGTATCTCATGTTTTTGTGTATCTGTCCACCTGGGTCTGTAAAACTCAGCTTGCAGCTTCACCAGAGAGGTGATGTCGGTTAGATGAGAGACACCAGGCCTCTGTCCCTTTGGGATTGAGTGCAGCCTAGGAGGCCTGACTTCCAGTTAGCCAGGCCAGACCAGAAACACCCCTCATCCCTGTATATAGTCAGTAGCAGGATAAGAGGGGCACCCTCCATGTCACCTCAAGTAGCTACTGGTTCTGTGGAGGCCCCACTGAACTCATTGTATGTTAGTTGGAAATGTGGTGTCGTGCTGTTCGTTTATAGAACATTGGCTTTTTATATATAAATCTATATACTTAAAGAAGGGAAAGGAAAGAAACCCCCCCAGTGTTGTGCTAGTGCCAAGGATCATCTGTAGGGATTTGCTCATTCTGTGTTTTGGATTATGTGATCCAGCCTTTCTTGGGTTCCTTCATCTTTTTTTTTCTCATTGTCTCCTCAATTTGGTATTTCTCGCTATGAAGATGAAAGTGATGGTGGTAAGAACCCAGCCTCTATTCTCTTGTTTTGTGCTCGGTTTACCTTTGCCCTTCTTTTGGAGGACCAAGAAGGACCAGAGGAAACAGACAGTGGGAAACAGAGAGTAGGAGAAAAGAATGAGGGAGGGGCGGAGGGGCTGGCTGGGGAGACGAGAGAAGGGCAGTTTTGCAGCAAGATGATGGCTGTGGTCCAGGACAGAGCCTGGATCGACATGCTCCACCCGAGTCCAGTATTGTTTTGTGTGGAACTGGTAGAATATTCTAGGAGGTGGAGCTGGACCTTGCTGAGGGACTCCACAGTTGCCAACTACAGAGACGTCTTATAGATCCTCTATGAGACTGGTGTTCCCCCAGACTCCTGGACACCTCTCTCCCTCTCCGACACTTTTTAGGGTACACACGCATCCTCACCTCCTGCAGGCGCACCAAGCCAAGACCAGATGGGGGGGACTCAAGCCGCCCTGTTGAAATGCTTCTAGACACCTGTGCATTGAATGTTGCTCCTGTCTACATTGACTGGGGGCTCCCCCTGCTGGGAAAATACCCATACTGCTGGAGAACATTCCTTCTTTGTAGTAACCGCCAACATTGTTGCTTCAGCGTTTGACGCAGCCATTTTCCTCCATGCGAAGTGTGTGTGTGTGTGTGTGTGTGTGTGTGTGTGTGTGTATGAGGGGTATGAGTGGGATGTGTGTGTGTGGGCGGGTGTCTAAATATAATCTCACCATAATTTATTCAGCTATATGGAGTAGTAGATTAGAAAGACAAACTGGTATTTGCTTTAACTACCTGCTGCTTGTAAGCGCTGCCTCTGTAACTCAGGCATAACTGTTATACATTAAAAGAAATTTAAAAAAAAAGTTGTGAAGGCTCTGTATCCTCAATTGACTGCCATCCTATGGCTGGGGACCAGGATGTTTGGGCGCACAATGGGTTGGTGTGGGAATGTTTTTCTTATTCTCTGTATTGGTGGGTTTGCTAGAGAAACCGAATTGATAGAACACACACACACATACACACATACACACACACACACACACACACACACACACACACGAGGATTTATTAGAATGGCTTACAACAGGTTGTGATCTAACTATTCCAACAATATATTTCTGCCATTGGAAAGTTCAAGAATGCAGTTGTGATCTAACTATTCCAACAATATATTTCTGCCATTGGAAAGTTCAAGAATGCAGTTGTTTTTCAGTCCACAAGGTTGGATGTCTCAGCTGGTCTTCAGGCTCTAGTGCCAATCAGCTTGCCAGTGAGAGTGAAGGCAAAAAGGCAAAAAGAAAACACTTCCTGCTTCCACGTCCTTTATACAGAAGGTGTGGTCCATCTTAAAGGTGGATCTTCCCAACAAAAAGATCCAGAGTTAGGGTGGGTCTTCCCACTCCAAATAAATCAAGAAAAATCCCTCAGAGGTGTATCCAGCCACCTGGGTTTTAGTTAATTCCGGATATAGTCAAGTTGTCAACCAAGGATTAGCATAAGTCCTCCCTTTGTTCACTTGACACACAATCATATCTCCTTTGGTACCAGGAGTGGGGTACATACCCCCATTGCATATGGCCCACCCCCAGTACCAAGCAGTTGTTGGCACACTATGTATGCCTTTTTGGTATTAATAAGTATCAACACAGATGGATACAGATCGACAGAGGCAGCTACTGGAGCATCTCTGTGGGCTCAGAGGATGAGCCCAGAGGCAGATAATGGAGGAACTCTGAGCAGACACTGAGCTGAGAGCCTTTGGTGGCTCTCACTCTGCCTAGGACAGAACTCAGGAGCACCCATTTCCCTAAGAGCAGCAGCAGATGTAGTGTGTGTGCTCTCTTGCTAAATGAATGGGGAGCCCATGCTACCTCAAGGTACTGACTTCCTTGGATGAAGTTCTTAACAGAAAGGAGTTGTGTGTGTTAGAAATGAGGGGGTGGCACAGGTCAGTCACTCATGTTGACCTGGACCTATCTAGCCAAGGTCAAGCTCTCCAGAGTAGGACTTGGAAGGAGATTGAGTATGTGCCAGGCCTAAGACCAGATGGAAGCTGCCTAGTACCCTCTCCACAGAGTCCTTGTGTACTGAGCCCCATACACACCCCTACTGTTATAACTGGTGCTCTCAACCACAGCCAGTGGGCACCCTTAACTCTCAGTTAAGATTTGGGGACATTCAGGGCCTCCCCAAGTTCTACCCTCAGCTCTGCATCAAACTGGCTGTAGAGCCTGAGACCATTTTCTCCCCCTTGGACTGGATCTCCATGTGTTTTAGAAAGCAAGCTAGATGACTTCTAAGGACCTCCCAGGTTACCATGGAGATCCTCTGAGCCAAAGCCTGGGCTTGAAAGCAGCCCACAGCATGCTGGTGCAGCTCAGAATTGTCCACCTTCAGGGCTGGGTAAAAGAACCAAAGTGTAAGATACCAAGACACAGACTTTGTCTTCAGGGACCCAGAAAGCACCCTGACCTCCTAGGAAATGTTCCTAGTGGTTATCTTTTTCCTGACAACCTTTGTCTATGTCCCATGGAAAACTGAATGGTCTTCAAGAGGACACACTGCCACCTGCCATAAAGTCATATTTCCATGTACAAAGAAAAAGAAGAGGTAGACATTGGACACATATTTGTATCTGTCAGCTATTTTGGTGATACTGCCGAATAAGACACAGTCTGGGTGGTCTCACTGGACACACCTTCATCCCAAGCCTTTCCCTTGGATGAAATTGATTAACAAGGGACAAGAGGTTACTTAAGACAGCAGACACATGGAACCTCTGAGGTGAGAAGGATACCCAGACAGACACTAGCCCAATCCCAACTGCTGCATATCCTGTTGTCTTAGTTAGGGTTTCTGTTGCTGTGAAGGGACAACATGACCATGGCAACTCTTATAAAAGAAAAAATATTTAATTTGGGTACCTTACATTTTCAGAGTCTTAGTCCATTATTATCATGGTATGACGTGGTGGCGTGCAGGCAGATGTTATGCCAGTGAAGGAACTCAGAGTCCTACATCTTGACCTGCAGTCAACAGGAAGTGCACTGTGTTACTGGGTGTAGCTTGAGCATAGGAGACCTCAAAGCCCACCCCCATGATGACACACTTCTTCCAACAAGACCACACCTACTCCAACAAAGTCACACCTCCTAATTGAGCCACACCCTTTGGGACCCATTTTCTTTCAGAACACCACAATGGTTTTCCTAAGAGCCTCTAGTGTCCATTCTCTCCCTCCTCATGCTACATGACTTGCTGTGAGCAGAGATTTACTTTCATAATCCCAGCCATGTGAGCAGCTGCTGCTGGGAGTAGGGCTAATTCTCTGGAGGTTTCAGGGAGTGAGTTCAAATCTCCACTACCTCTCTTTCCTCCCCTCAAATAATTGAAATATGTTCCTTTGATCAGGCATCACCCTTGGGCCCAAGTCTCTTTCCTTCAGCTGTCCCATCCTTCAAATAGAAATAAAGTCTGTCCATCTGTATCAGAACTATAGCCAACAACACCATGATTTTCTGATTTCAAACACCAACAGCTTGCAGCAGGTGTGTGGGTGCAGGTGTGGGTGTGTTCCTTGTCACTGTTTACAACCATTACATAGAATCTTAGTCCTATTTTTGTTGCTACAACAGAATACTCCAGATGGGGAATTTATAGAATTATACTCATGACGGCTTAGCAATAAAGATGATTGCTAATCACACCTGGAGACCTGAGTTTGCTCCCAGAGTCCAGGAAGGCATGAGTCAGCTTCACAAGTCTTCCTCTGATCTCCACACTTGTGCTGTGACACATATACCCACCCATACATCATGCACACATGGAACAGCAAAAAATGTAAAGAAAACATTAAAAAGAGTGGGCATTGATTTGCCCTCATGACTCTGGAGGCTGGGAACCCCAAAAGTCTGACCTATACCTGCTCAGCGCCTGGTAAGGTCTTCCTGTCTCATAACAACATGGCGAGATGGGCTGTATAGAAAAATAGTTTAAAAAGAAAAGTGGTTTGAGTGTAGAGCATTTGCCAAGCATGTGCCAAGCCCTGGGTCCAATCGCTAGCACTACAAAGATGTAGATGCTCTTCTAGTTGCACGGCATCATTCCAAAGCACCTAAGACCCAGTGTAACTGTGGGTACACTTATTTCAATTTACTTCTCATTTCTCACTCCAAGTCCCCAGATATCTCATGAACAAGGCAAGTCTCATAGCCATCCTCAAAGTCAAGGGTGGGAGATGCACTTCCCATCCATCTTGAGGCGTGGAGAGGGACGGAGTCCTAGTTTCATCCCAGAGGAGTAAAGAACTGTTATGTGTTATTCAGAAAACATAGCAAGACTGCCCCATGTCTGACCTGACCTCCTCCACTCCATAGACAAAGAGTTCATCAACGACAGTTACTTCCCAGGGCCTTGAAACCCTGGGTGCCCCTTTCCCCAACCATGCCTAACTGGCTCAGGGCAGATGTCTAGGTCTCCAAGAGAGGACATTGGAACTGTGGAGGAGTCAGGCCCAAAGGTTAGATCATCTAAGTCAGGATAAATTATTGGGTCATTAGGAACAGCATGGGACATGAGTGTGTCACCAGGAATGTCCCAGGCACAAGGCTAAGGTAAGGCTCTGGGTAGAAGAGACTGACTTCCCTGAGACCTTGTCCTGGGCCCCACCCTCCTAGGCTTTAGACCCCTCCGTTCTTTGGGAAGCTAGGCTGATACTGATGTCCCATGTTAGCCGCCTGCGCTGTGAAGACCAGCATTTTGCAGTGCTAGATTCCTTCTGCACACCATGTGCCTCAGAGAGGCACTCTAAAGTCAGTCTACATCCCAGCCTAGGGACCGATGACAATGACGACTAACCTCCTGCAATGGGTGCAGCTGCCTCTGAGGACTCCATTTCTCTCTATATATACAGCCTCATGCAATGGGTGCAGCTGCCTCTGAGGACTCCATTTCTCTCTATATATACAGCCTCATGCAATGGGTGCAGCTGCCTCTGAGGACTCCATTTCTCTCTATATATACAGCCTCATGCAATGGGTGCAGCTGCCTCTGAGGACTCCATTTCTCTCTATATATACAGCCTCATGCAATGGGTGCAGCTGCCTCTGAGGACTCCATTTCTCTCTATATATACAGCCTCATGCAATGGGTGCAGCTGCCTCTGAGGACTCCATTTCTCTCTATATATACAGCCTCATGCAATGGGTGCAGCTGCCTCTGAGGACTCCATTTCTCTCTATATATACAGCCTCATGCAATGGGTGCAGCTGCCTCTGAGGACTCCATTTCTCTCTATATATACAGCCTCATGCAATGGGTGCAGCTGTCTCTGAGGACTCCATTTCTCTCTATATATACAGCCTCATGCAATGGGTGCAGCTGCCTCTGAGGACTCCATTTCTCTCTATATATACAGCCTCATGCAATGGGTGCAGCTGCCTCTGAGGACTCCATTTCTCTCTATATATACAGCCTCATGCAATGGGTGCAGCTGCCTCTGAGGACTCCATTTCTCTCTATATATACAGCCTCATGCAATGGGTGCAGCTGTCTCTGAGGACTCCATTTCTCTCTATATATACAGCCTCATGCAATGGGTGCAGCTGCCTCTGAGGACTCCATTTCTCTCTATATATACAGCCTCATGCAATGGGTGCAGCTGCCTCTGAGGACTCCATTTCTCTCTATATATACAGCCTCATGCAATGGGTGCAGCTGCCTCTGAGGACTCCATTTCTCTCTATATATACAGCCTCATGCAATGGGTGCAGCTGCCTCTGAGGACTCCATTTCTCTCTATATATACAGCCTCATGCAAT